GTTGTTCCTCTTTGTAGAGAAAGGAGTTGGAATGACACAGAAGGGTGGGAGGCAGGTGAAAAACACACAAACGTACAGGAGCATGTACACACGCACGCACTCACACATGGAAAGCAACTTTTCCCCTGTGGAGGGGGAGAACACAACATAATAGGGAAAGCCACGCACAAGTAAAATATACTTTTTCATCTCCCATGGGAGTTTCAAACCCAGAGGGGTCATGGAGGCCAGGCTGCAGGGGATAGGATGGGGAGGTGCAGGTTAATCTGAAGACACAAGCCAGACCCTGTGGGCTGCGTTGTGTCCAACAGACAAGATACAGCAGGAGTGGACAAGTCAGGGCCTTGGGGAGGACAGCAGGATTGGAGGCAAAAGTCATTAATACATCTCTCAACTCTTAGCAAAGAAGCTTCTTTACACAGCAGATGCTGGTTAACACAGAGAACCACAACTGGCCAATGCGTGGAGAATAAGACGCTACAAACTGCTTATCCTGGAAGCTGATGCCTGTATCAAACTTCTGCTTCCCAAACCTCAGAGACCATTGCAGAAGAGGGGGTGGAGAGACGGTACTAGCCAGGGGTGGTGGATGAGCACAAGAAAACAGAGCTTTCCAAACAACTGAGAAGTTACTCATTATGAACTCTTAGCAATGGTGACAGTGTGCACAAGTCCCATGTAAGCTCAGCCCAGACAAAATCCCAGCACAGACGTGGGGAAATGGGTAAGCAACTGCAGCCCTAGCTATTGGCAACTGATGGCAACTGGGAAGAGGAGAGCCAGTCTTGTTTAAGGGTGAGACTCTTCGCCGGTTAACCAGGCTCTGGTGGACGGACCCACACTGAAGGACATTTGGGGACACAAATTAGACTCTATAGGCCTTTACATAGAGATATAAATATAGATAATATATGATAAAGTACATGAAATGCGGCAAGAGGGAGAAGGCTTCTAAATATGATTAAAATATATTGTATGGAATTCTCAAAAAATTCCATTTTAAAAAAGTGAATAATGGATTCAGGGTATATTGAATGTTTATAGGCGAAAGAGACAAGAGCTCAAAGGTGATGGAAGATTCCAGAACAAGGAGAGGAGGAAAAGCAAGCATTCTATAGTGTCAAGTGTCTCAGATGAACAACTGGCAACGATTAGAGCTATTTTTCAATGTCACATTCTCTGCGAATTAGAGGCCAGCCTGGTCTACCTAGTGAGTTCCATGCCAGGGCCACATCCCACCCCCCCCAAAAAAAGGTGCTTGCCACCACATCTGACAAACTGAGCTCAATCCCTGGGACTCACATGGAGGAAGGAGAGACTCCATCGCCTTCTGATACTTGTTCTGACCTGACCTCCACAAGCACATTTTGGCATGTGCATGCACACACACACACCAGCAAGCACACATTCACACAAAATAAATAAAAATGTACAGCTGAAGAGATGGCTCAACAGTTAAGAGCACTGGCTGCTCTTCTAGAGGACTTGGGTTTAGTTCCCAGCACCCACATGGGGTGGCTCACAACCAGCTGTAACTCCAGTTCCAGAGGAGCCAATGCCCTCTTCTGGCCTCCACCAGCATTGCTCTCACATGGTGCACCTACATAAACTCAAACCCACACACATACACATAAAATAAACCTTAAAAAATTAAAAAGTCAGGGCTGGAGAGATGGCTCAGCGGTTAAGAACACTGGTTGTTCTTGCAGAAGACCCAGGTTCGAATCCTAGCACCCACGTGGCAGCTAACAACTGTCTGTAACTCCAGTTCCAGGGGAGCCAATGCCCTCTTCTGACCTCCACCAGCATTGCTCTCACATGGTGCACCTACATAAACTCAAACCCACACACATACACATAAAATAAAAATAATAAATAAAAATATTTTTACAGTAGCACTTTTTTTTTTTCATTTTTTTTCTCATTGCAGCTGGTTTGTTTGTTAGTTTGTTTGTTTGAAGCAGGGTCTCCCTGTAGCCCCAGCTGTCCTGGAACTCACTGTGTAGACCAGGCTGGCCTTGAACTCACAAAGATCCGCCTGCCTCTGCCTCCCAAGTGCTGGGACTACAGGCATGCACCACCACGCCCGGCAAATAAAAATATTTTTAAAGTCAAAATTTAATAAACATGACATGAAGAATGACTGAGGAAGACACCTGATACTGACATCTGGCCTCCATGTGTATGTACACACATGCACACATGAACTCACACACACATACACACACACACACACCATATACACAATAATTTTCATCTCAAAAATAAGGAAACAGGGCTGGAGAAATGGTGCAGCAGTTAAGAGTGTGTGCAGCTCTTTCAGAGGACCTTAGTGTTGTTGCCAGCACCAATATTAGGAAGTTTATAACCACTTGTAACTCCAGCTCCAGGAGATCCAACGCCCTCTTCTGACCTTGGAGAGCAACCACATACACACTAACAAAATTAAAATAGGGGCTTGAGCAATGGCTCAGCAGTTAAGAGCACTGGCTTTTCTTACAGAACACCTGGGTTCAGTTCCCAACACCCAAATGGCAGCTGACAACTGTCTGTAACTCCAGTTCCAGGGGATCCAATATCCTCTTCTGGCTTCCATGGGCATTGCTGGATATAGGTGCACTTACATACATGCACACAAAATACTCCTACACATAAAATACACATTTTTATATATGTTTTGTTGTGTTTATGTGTATGCATATATTGCCTGCATGTAGGTAAGTGCACCCGTGTCATGCATTGCCTGCAGAGGTCAGAAGAGGCTGTCAGATCCCCTGGAACTGGAGTTGTGGACAGTTGTTAGCTGCTGTGTGGATGCTGGAATTCGAATCTGGGTTTTCTGCAAGAATAGTCAGTGTTCTTAACCACTGAGCCATCTCTCCAGCCCCAATACAAACAATTTTTTTTAAGTCCAGACACATATTAACAATTAACAAAAGTACAAGGAATAGAAATTCGAGGAGCCACACCCTCCTGCCACGTGCAGAGGGACACACAAAGGCTGCCATAGGTGTACCAATTCATCTTGGATTTTCTGGATAACCCAATCCATGGGCTGGGGAGATGACTCAGTGGATAAAAGAGCTTGCTGCACAAGCATGAGAACCAAAGTTCGGAGCCCCAGGACCCAAGTAACCCCAGCAATGAAGGAGGTAGACAGAGGAATCCTGGAGGCTTGCCGGCTCCAAGTCCAGCCAAAACAGCCAACTCCAGGTTCAGTGCAAGACCCTGTTTCAAAACATAAAGTCAAGAGCCATAGAGGCAGACACTTGGTATCAACTTCTGGCCACCGCAAGCACAGCTTGGGCACACGTGTGCACACTCATTCACACAAAAAACCCAAACCGGCTGTCACTCTTCACTGAGCACCTTCTGTATACCAGATCCTCAAGGCCTTTAAAGACATTGCAGGCCTGGCAGTCATTCTGCAAGTCCACTTCCCATCACTCCTGGGAGCCTGGACCCCTCCTATGCCTTCCATCAGCAAAATTAGGACCTTCAACCCCTTCCCACCCTGACCCCTTCCTCACTGTAGTTAATTTCCTTTTTCGGAGAAATCTGAAGACATAACTCAGTAAACAGCTTTTTGTTTAGCTGGTTTTGAAAGAGCGTCTAATGTAGCTCAGGCTGGCGTCAAACTCACTATGTAGCTAAGGTTGGTCTCCCAAGTGCTGTGATAGCAAGCCTGGACCACCACACCAGGTTTCACCAGACATTTTGAAAACCGGTGGCCTCTTCACACCTCACAGTGAGAAATTCAAACTAGATTCTTTTCATTAATTTTTCTGTTAATCCCACAATAGAAAAGGACAGAGATGAGGGGCAGGGGACAGGAATGAATGGCCCCATTAGACATAACCAGACATGGAGCTGTACCAGTCACCCCTTGGAACCATATATCCTAAACATGCCTCTGATTATCCCACTCTGAAATGGGTCTGCGATAGTATCAGCCTCCAGGAGTCACTAAGAAGTTTTGGAGAAATAAGCCACACAGCACAGAGATTATAATCATTCTAATTATAATAATCTTTAAAAGGCCACTACTGTTACTATGATTGCTGCTGGTGTAGACTGTGCCTGAAAACATCTAGAAACAGAGCACTGTAAACATAACCAGCCATCAGCTTACCTACAAAGGGTCTCTATCTTTCAGCACCATGAGAAGTTTCACTGCCAGTGGAAAACCAACCACCCAAGCTTTGGTTTCAAACCATTTAGGCGCTAGGCTGCCTGAACCTGTCCAGACCCAGTGACCCTACTTCCTTAAGGGACCCCGGTGAGGATTAAAGAGCAAGAAGGGGGTGGGGAGCAGACATGATTTGGAGGCGTGCAGGCGAGGGCACCTGGCAACTGGGCGGGCACTGGGGCAAGGTTCCTCAGACCCAAGCCTGCCACACACGGGGTACAGAGCCACCAGCCCAGCGGGCAAAGGCCAAGGTCAGCTGGCTTCACGAGGGGCCAAAGCCACCTGAGGCCACCGTTCCCCCCAATCTTTAGGGAGGAGGTTGTTCATTCATAAGCTACAGCGGTGAGAGGGCTATCCCGACCCTCGGTCCTTACTTAGGGAGGGGATTCTAGGTTGGCTAGGACGGAGAGAGGGGTGTCCCTAACCCTCAGTTCTTAGGGAGGGGGACTCTAGGCTAGCTGGAGCGGTGGCGGGGGTAGGGGGGGGAGGTCCCCAAGCTTCAGTCTTTAGATAGGGTACTGTAGGTTGGCTGGAGCGGTGGGAGGGGTGCCCCCGACCTTCAGTCCTTACCAGCCCTTGGCTGGGGATTCTAGGCTGGTTGGGGCCCTTGGCTGGGGATTCTAATGGCTGGTTGGGGCTGTGGGCGGGCTATCATCCAACCGCAGTTCTTTAGATAGAGGGCTCTAGATTGGCTGGGGTGGTGGGTGGGGTGTCCCCGACCCTCAGTCCTTAGGGAGAGGGCGCTAGGTTGGCTGGGGCGGTGGGAGGGGTATCCCCCAAACACTGCGGTCGCCCCTCAGTCCATACTCACCCTCTCCAGGATACAGGTGGCCGGCTGCACCCACCAGCAACGCGGCCACCGCCACCAGCAGCGGTGCGGCCGTGGCCCCCCGCCTTGCCCCAGCGCCCATGGCTGCGGGAGCGCGGGGTCCAGAGAGATCAGAGCGCGCCACGCGGGCCGTCGGGGGACATGCTCCGAGAGGAGCTCGTCGGAGAGGCGCTGGGGGCCGCGCGTCCTTCTCTGCCCCGCGGGTGGCTACCCGGCCACAGCTCTCCAAACGAGAGGGCCTGGGGAACAGTCCCGGGAAGGGCGCAAAGGCTGCAACCCACAGAGAGGCGCGGCCCGGGGACGGTGGCCCCTGGTCACCCAGGCCCGGTCCGGTCCCCACGATCTCAGGGTCCAGAGCTTCAAACCGCGGTGCGTCTCCCTACCCAGGCTCCTGCTCCTCCGTGGGATGCAGTTCTGGGTGGATCGCGATCTGTGGATTCTGAGACCGAGAGACGCGGACGCGGGCGGCCACCTGAGCTGGTGGCGGCGCGGGCGGCAGGAGCGAGGGTTCGGCTCGGCCCGTAAACAACGCGGCCCGTCAGCTGGGGCCCCGCAGGCAGCTGGAAAAGGTGGCGCGGATTGCGGCAGGGAAGGGACTGTGTGCCCAGGAGAGGCCCGGGGAAGGGGACGGACTAGAGGAACCCAGGGAGGCGTGGCCAGACTCTGTACCGCCACGCCCACCCGCCTCCTGGTGCACCGCCCTCTGAGCTGGAGGCCTGCGGCGCACCCCAGACCCCCCCACACCCCAACCCCCCCACACCCCAACCCCCCCGACTCCAAACTGCACCGAGATTCCAACTCAAAAACCTAGGAGCGCCCCAGATCCCAACGTGATCCAAATCCCGTAAATAGCCCTAAGGGCCCCAGATCTCCAACTGAAGCAAACACCCCCCCCAAATAGTCCCGAAGTTCCAATTTAAAACCCCGGGACTCTCCCGATTCCCGCCTGACCCCCAAGTAGCTCTGAAGTTCCAATGTCAGAATTTGGGGGCACCTCAGATTCCCGTCTGGCAGGAACAGTCCTGCCCCAGACAACCCGAGACAACAGACTCAGAGCCCGTGGGTATCTCAGATCCCTGCCTAACCCTAACACCCCCAAACACCGACTTGGGTCTCAAAACTAGAGTCGTTCGAGTTGTGCTAGGTCTTGACTTTCTTGAATTGTTTGGTTATTTTGTTTGCTGTGAGGAATTTAATTCTTTATTGATATCTTTATTCTTTTTTTTTTTTGAGACAGGTTTCCCAGTAGCCCCAGCTGGCCTGGAATTCACTATGTAGACTGGGGGTGGGGAGGGTGTTTGTTTTGTTTCCAAGCCATGCTTCCCCCACTTCACCCTGGTCCGGACCCCGCTAGGAACTAAGCCTGCCCCCCGCCCCCACCCAGGTTCCTCCCTCCTAAGTGAGCAGCATGGCCCACTCCAGTCTCCTAGGAACAGCCACGTGTCCACAGCCCCCTCGCTCTCTGTGTTCCATGGTCTGCGCCCTCGTTGCAGTCTTTGATTCCAGCGGAAATCAATAAAGAAATGGCTCCTAGGAGAACATTCCAAGACTTCTTAGAAAACGTTAGGCACTTCAGACCCGATGTAAGTGAACAAGTTCTATTTTCAATTCCTTCCTTCCTTTCTTTCTTTTTGAACCGTTTTATGTTTTAAATTTTATTTATTTATTTTTATTTTCTTATGTGTATGTGTGTTTTACCTGCAGGTGTCACCCATGCAAGCAATGCCTGCGGAGGGCATTCTTAGAAGGGGGTGTCAGGTGGTGCTGGGAACCAAACCCAGATCCTCTACAAGAGCAGCCAGTGCTCTTAAAGGCTGTGCTATCTCTCCAGACCTGAACCTTTGTGTGTGTGTGTGTGTGTGTGTGTGTGTGTGTGTGTGTGTGTGTGTGTGTGTGTTTTGCCTACATGTATGTAAACATATCATCTAGCTATGTAACATATATGTAACATACCTTCATGTACCTGTGAAGGCCGGAAGAAGGCATCAGATTCCCTTGGAGTTATGGGTGCTGGGAACTGATCTTGAGTCCTTGTAAGAGCAACCAGTGCTCTTAACCACTGAGCATCTCTCCAGCCCCACAGGTTCTATTTTCAGCACAAATACCTGTAAGTAGGTGTGTGAAAAATAGAGTCTAAGAAGTTCAATCACCAGTAAGAAATGGCTCTGTGCAACCCCACCTTACTAAAAAGTTGTCCATACATTCTGAAAGACAAAACCCAAAAGAAATTCAGTTCCTCAACCCTTGACTTCCAGCATGGTCTGATAGTAGTGACTGAACTTATCTGTGGCTGCCTTCTCGTATAAAGGATTTTACAGTATCTGTGTATTAGGAACTTGGAGGAAATAAAACATTCCAGAAAGCCCCAGATAGAGCAATAGACACAAGGCATTCATTCTTCCTCCAGTTAAACGAAGAGTTGAACCCAGGCAGGGCATGGTGGCCCACTCAGGAGGCAGAGGCAGGGAAATCTCTACCAGCTGAGGGCCAGCCTGATCTACATAGTGAGTTCTAGGCCAGCTAGTGTTACAGAGTGAGACTTTGTCTAAAAGAAAAAGAAGACAAAGGAAGAAAAATACAGGGGCAGAAGAGATGGCTCAGTGGTTAAGATCACTGGCTGTTCTTGCAGAAGACCCAAGTTCAAATCCCAGTACCCACCTGGCAGCTAACAACACACCATAATTCCAGTTCCAGGGGGTCTGACACCATCTTTTGTCCTCTGTGGGCACTGCACAACATGGGTGCACTTACATATAAGCAGACATAATACTCACACACACAAAATAAAAATAAATTTTAAAACTTTTTTAATGTTGAAGCCAGGCTTGGTGGTATAGTCCTGCCCATTATCCCAGCACTCAGAAGGCTGAGGCTGGAGGATCCTCTTTTGGGGGGCCAGATTGGTTCCAAGCCAACGTGGGCTCCAGGGTAGATGCTGTCTGAAAAAACAAAACAGAAGTGTAGGCAGGATGGCTCAGCAAGTAGAGGTTCCTGCTACCAAACCTGACACCCTGAGTTCCTGGAGACAGAGGCAGGTAGATAGATCTCTGTGAGAGAGAGAGATCAGCCTGGTTGACATAGCAAGTTATAGGCCAGTGGGGCTACAGAGAGACCCTGTCTCAAAAAACTAAAAATAAAAGAAGGGGGCACCTGGAGAGATGGCTCAGCACTTAAGAGAACTGGCTGCTCTTGTAGAGGACTGGGTTCAGTTCCCAGCACCCACACGGCAGCTAACACCTATAACTCCAGTTCCAGGGGGATCTGATGCCCTCTTCTGGCCTGAATGGGCATTGTACAACACAGGTGCACATGCATTCATGCAGGTGAAACACTCATGCACATAAACTAAATAAATAATTTTTAACTTTAAAAAATAAAAAAAAGTTAATAGAGATTGCTCAGTGGATAAACGTGCTTGCAGAAGTTTGACCCCCTGAGACTCACTTAATGGGAGGAAAGAACTGACTCTTGAAACTTGTCCTCTGACCTCTACACCCACACACTGGCATGTGGGTGAGTGCACAATGCATGTACGTGTGTGCACGCACATACACAGTGAATAAATATATATAAAAGTAAATATAAAGATAAGTAAGGCAAAGAGCAATAGAGAAAGACACCCAACATCAGCCTTTGACCTCCACATGCATGCACACACAGACACTCAGACACACAGATGCAGACACACACACACACACACACACACACACACACAATGGCATGTACGAGTCCACTGGTACAAGCATACATACACAATAAGTAAATAAATACATTTAAAATTTTCTTTTTATTTTAAGTGATAACCTACGCAGATGACTCTGTGGTAGAACACTTGCCCAGCACACAAGTCTGTAGGCACCTAAACCTTGCAGGGAGCTGGACCCACAGTTCTTGCATCCTGACTCCTTGCCCCTGACCTTGCTCCTGCCTGTCACTCTTTCTCCTGATTCAATGAGCTTCTCCCACACACGCTCCTGAGCCCTTACTTTCCGTCTCCAGTCCTTTCCATCTCGTGCTTACCTCTCCCTGAATTTCTTTTTTTTTAATTTATTTTTATTTTATATGTCTGAGTGTTTTGTCTGCATGTGTGTAAGGGCATCTGGGTCATGCAATGCCTGTGGAAGGCAGAAGAGAGTGAGGGCAGCAGATCCCCTGCAGCTGGAGTTAGTGGGTGGTTGTCAGCCACCATGTGGGTGTTGGGAACCAAACCCAGGTCCTCTGGAAGAGTAGCAGTGCTCTTAACCGCAGATCCATCTCACCAGCCCCTGGATTTGTTTATTACTCTGCTTGTTATCTCTTGTTTTTAATCTTTTTTATTTATTTATTTTCATTTGATGTGTGTGAGCATTATGCCTGGATGTGTGTAAATGCCCCCATCTCATGCAGTGCCCACAGAAAACAGAAGAGGGCATCAGATCCCCTGGAACTGGAGTTATGGATGGTTGTAAGTTGCCATGTGGGTGCTAGGATTTGAACCTGAGTCTTCTGCAAGAGCAGTCAGTGCTCTTAACTACTGAGCCATCTCTCCAGGCCCAACTTTACTTGTCATCTCTTACCTGTCTGGTTTGGTCCTTTTGTTTTTTAATGCACAGCACCTGACATGCCTATTGGTTAATATTTGTTTAAAGAATCAACACATTGCTAACATAGGATTCCCAGGATGTAAAATCAGCACAACCTGTTTTCTTGTAGGATTAACAAGGGAGAGGGGGCATGTGTCACGTGTTATGAGTTGAGAGAGGGTGGTCAGTAGGTTGAGATAATCATTTGAAACTGAAATCTAAAGAGAAGGATATCACAGTCAAGAGAGGAGCTTGTGCAAAGGCTCTAAGAGGCACTTGTAACTGAAGCAGGTGTTGTAGCTGCAGAGAGGGAGGAAGAGATCCTGGAGCCATGTGGGGAATGAGAGGGTGCAGACGGTTGGGCATACCATGTGCTCGCTCTCTCTCTCTCTCTCTCTCTCTCTCTCTCTCTCTGTGTGTGTGTGTGTGTGTGTGTTTATTCATATGTGAGTGCAGGAGGTGTGTGCTAATGCCAGTACAAGTGTGTGCGTGTGCATGTGGAGGCCAGAGGTCAGGTGTCTTCCTCAATCACTCTCTGCCATAGTTTTGAAGACAGTCTCTCACTGAACCTGGAGCTCACAGATTTAGATAGACTGACTGGCCAGGGATCCCAGAGCTGTCTCCTACACTTTGGGATGATAGGCCCTCCCCACCACATTCAGCTTTTTACATGGGTGCTGGGGAGCCAAACTCAGGTGTTCATACTTGTGTGGAAGCACTTTACCAATTGAGCCATCGCCCCAACCCCTGGGTTTTGGTTTTGGTTTATTTGTTTAAGACTTATTTATTTTAATTTTTCTTATATGTAAGGGGGTGCCCACAGAAGCCAGAAGAGAGCATTATATCCCCTGGAACTGGAGTTACAGCCAGTTGTTAGCGACTGGGAACCAAGCTCTGCAAGAGCGCAGGTGCCCCTAACTGCTGAGCTATCTTTCTAGCCCTTGGGTTTGTTTTTTTTGTTTTGTTTTCTGTTTTGGTTTTTGGTGTCTTGTTTTTGTTTTGTTTTGTTTGAATTTTTACTGCAGAATCTCAGAGAGTTGACTTAAAGGTCTAGTATAATCAAATTTTCTTTCTAACATTATCTCTCTGTCAACTAGGTGTACTAGGACTTGCCTGAAATCGAACACTCGAGAGGCTAAGGCAGGCAGATGATGAATTCAAGGGTAGCCTGGGCACCATAACAAGACCCTGAGTCAAAAATTAATTAAGGGCTTGGGAAGATGGTTTAGTTAGTAAAGTACTTGCCCCACAAACATGGGGACCTGAGTTTGATCTGCAGAACCCATATAAAATGTCAAGCATGGTGGCATGTACTTATAATCCCAGCACCGTGGAGACCAATCAGGAGGATCCCCAAGGCTCATGGGCTAACCAGCCTACACAAACCAGTGAGGTCCAGGTTCCCCAGAGACAGATCCTGTCTCAAAATAACAAGGTGAGCCAGGCACAGTGATGCACACCTTTAATCCCAGCCCTCAGGAGGCAGAGGCATGTGAATTTCTGTGAGATCCAGACCAGGCTGGTCTACAGAGCGAGCTCCAGGCCAGTCAGGGGTACACAGTGAGACCCTGTCTCAAAAAACAAAAACTGAACAAGATGGATGGCTCCTGAGGAAAGCCACCAAAAGCTGACCTCTGGTCTCCACACACACTCCCACACGCATGTGCACACACATACACTACATGCAAAAATAATTCATTAATTAGTGCAACTAAAATTCCAGGCAGACATCAAATGCTGAAAATGGCCAGCTAAGGGGTTGAGCTAAAGCTCTCTAAAGAAACTGCATGCATATTAAGCATTCATCCTGCAGAGGGCCTAACACTTGGCCGAACAGAACACCATAGTGTCATGGATCAAGGGCCAAACTGGGGGCTGGAGAGCTGGCTCAGCAATTAAGAGCACTGGCTGCTCTTGCAGATGACCTGGGTTCAGTTCCCAGCACCCACATGGCAACTAACAACCGTCCATAACTGCAGTTCCAGGGGATCTGACGCCCTCATCTAGCCTCCTCAGGCAGT